CGCCGCCAGTGCCCGCGGCCACTGCTTGGCCTCCCGCGCGGGGGCTGCTCCCCCAGGCCCTGCAGGGGTAAACAGCTCCCCTCCCCTTGCTGCCAGCTGGGGCCCGCGGGCCGGCACTGCCCACCTCACCGCAGCCCCACCACTGCCGCTGCCGCCGCAGCTCCACGCTCCACACCGCCACCCTGTGCTCCGCAGCGGCAACTCTGCACCGCCGCAGGTCCGTGCTGGTGGGGCCACCGCCACCGTGGGCCAGACAAAATGACTTGGCGGGCCGCATGGCAGGCCGTATGTTGGACAAGCCTGTCCTAAAGGCTTGTTCCTGTGCTTGCAAAGCTGCAGACTTCCTGTAAGAGGAGACATCTGCATTCCCTATATGAATCCAGTGAGATTCCCCTCTTCCAACCCTCCTGCCCTGCTGCTTCTTTGAAATGGGGTGATTCTCTCTCTGCCTCTGAGGCTGCTTCAGATTCCTGGTGGAGGGTGGGCAGTCACAGGTGCCTATTTGACCTCTGCCTCTGAGAGGGGGGCAGGCCCCAGATTTTCAAGGTGGAGGTGTGACATAGATGTCCCTTTCCCCCTTTGAGCTTTATACTGGTGCTAGAGCTGCTGAAACCCTTTCCAGATGCTGTTGTTACCCTAGATGTGGCCCTAGCCTCTGACAACAGACAGGAAGGGACTTCCACCTGCAAGAAGGAAGGAAAAGAAGAAGGTCAGGGATTCCCCAAACATCCGTAGTTAACATGGAAGTAATGTTTCCTGTAACCAGAGGCTATTGCTGGCCATTTATCACCCCAGTTTATGATCACTGAGGGCCAGTGGAAACTGAGTGCAGCTGCTACTTAAGACACTGCTTACAGCTGGTGAGCCAAAGATGAGCAGAACTAGTTCCGATCATTTAACAGTGTTTTACAAAGCTTCTGCAGTTGCCTGGCGAGGCTTGCAAGGCATCCTGTAAGCAGCATTCCAGACCCTTCCCAGACAGTGACTCCATATGGTAGCTGAATAAACAATTCAGATTCCTTCTCTCAAGCTGAGAGGAGGATGATCATATCCTTTTTTGACTGAGGGTCCTTGTCCCTCACTTAATGCACCCCCATGTTGAGAACCTAAGTCTGACAGACATGAGTTGAGAAGCTTCTCTCGCTTCATACTCAGTTGCTGTCATGACAGGCCGATTCCTTTCCCTGGACTCCATCTGCTGCCACAGAGGTGGCATATCCTCTTGGCCTGATGCATAGGTGGTGCATAGCGGGCACAGGAGGGCACGTGGCCCCCCTGAGATTGGCCGCCACTGGCTTCTGCGGGCAGTTGCCCCCCCCTCCCCCCTTGCTGCCAACGTGGCCACTGCTGGCTGTGGGCGGTTGCTGCTGCCGACAGTGCAGACAGCAGCAGCAGGTGGTCTCTGCTCACTGGCCCCCGCTCGCCCCGTCCACCACCGTGGCCACCTGTGAGCAGTCCCTGCTTCGCACACCCTTGTCACCAATGTCACTGTGGCCACCTGCAGGCAGTCCCTGCTCGCCACCGCCACACCCCGCCCCCCCACAGCCTATGGGTGGTGCCTGTGGCCCCCCCCCAGCCTGAGGAGACATGCATTGTTCATGGCCTGATGGCTTTACATCTTCCACAGCAATTTCTGGGAATGGGGAAAGGTCACTGTGCCTGCTTGTGATGTTTTGTGAAGCTCTGATGGGGAGCCCTGAGTGCGGGCCCTGGGAGGTGGGCTTGCTGTGGGTACAGCATGCTGTGGCAAGGGTCCAGTTCAGGCCACAGCAGCGATCTCAGATCAGAGAAATGGAGTGAGAATATGAGACAGCAGACAGGGAGGCTGGGGATGTGGACAAGGCCAGTTGTTTGCACTCTCATTACTTTCTCCTTTGTCTCAGTGAGATTGGCACTGCTGGGAAGAAGAGCCACCCTGGCTTGTGGCCACTTCCCCTCCATCTGCAGTCAGCAAACTGCCGTGGCAATGAGCAGGCCCTGCTCCAGTGTGGCTACCAGGAGGCTGTGTCAGGAGCCTGTCACCAGGGCAGTGCAGTGGCAGTATGTGTCCCTCCAGAAGGTAAGTACAAAGGGAAATCCTTGCCTATCAGGGCCATATGGCCCAGTTCCCAGCATCACCACTGAGACGTAAAACCCCATATGGTAAAGTTGTGAGGACAAAAAAGATGACCAGGCTTTGCTCACATTTTTTACCACTACAGAAAATGGCTTCTGTTTCCACAGAAGGAGTGAGCAGGTTCTTCCAGCTCTGAGCACCAGAGCGGGATGCAGGGCTGGAGAAGTAGAACTGGGGCGGCTCTAAACCATTTAAATGGCAGCACTTACCAGCCCCTAGCTCCTTGTGGGGTACCTCGCCCCTGCTCCCAAACCTGGGCCTCTACCTCCAGGTAGCAAAGTCCCTCCACACTGTTGTCCCTCAAATGCCTGTGTCTTTTCTGTTCCATCATGCAGTCTCTAGTGTTTGAGTTTCACAGGTGAAAATATGTTGGATGGGGAGAAAAAGAGCAGGGGTAGAGGCATCCCTGAAACTCCTATGATCAGAGATTGTGCCTGGCTCCCCAGCTGTCAGATATGCTTTCCTTCCCTCTGTTTTGCTCCTTCTTCTTTTCCTGAAGAGCAGGTGTAGGGACCCCGCTGCGTCTGGTTGGGGGGAAGGCAAGCTTTGAGGGACGAGTGGAGGTCTACCATGATGGTGAGTGGGGCACCATCTGTGACGACCAATGGGACAACAGGGATGCTGAAGTGATTTGCAGGCAGTTAGGACTCAGGTAATTCCCTTTCTTTTACTTTCTGTCTGGTGATGGGGGTAGGGAGACTTAACTTAAGAACTGCCACCCTGGATCAGAACTGTGGTCCATTTAGGTCACTCAGCTCTTGCTGCCAGCTACCTCAGAAGAATGGCCAAGAAAATCTGGCATGGACTATTTCAGAACCTACCCCCAGGGAATTTTCTTCTAGGGTTCTTGAATCTCGGCTGCTGTAACCCTGAATGTTCTCATTATACATGTGAAAATGTCTAGGTCTTGTCAGAATACCCCCAGGCTCCTGGCCTTGGTGGTAGCTCACAGCAGTGAGTTCCACTTGTGAATGGTACCTGTTCCCTGTGACAGTTCTGAATGCAGGTTCACTGACTGTCCTATTGGTCTTCTGTGGTGAGAGTGGGAAATTGGGAATTCCAGTTTACCCTCCTCTCTGCTGTTCATGTATGGACACTGCTGGGTGCTGAAGACCATGGAAGCCCGTGTCCTTACAGAAGTGCCTCCCTGGGGTTTAACAGACTGACTTTTTAGCTTCCCTTTTTTACATCTTGATTCTGGGTTTGTGTGTGTAACCACCAGACCTTCAGAGCTTTGCATATCACTTTTGCCAGTGGCTGCATCTACATAAGACACTGACTGTGCAGTAACCTGAGTTACTGCGCAGTAGGGCTGTGTGAAACTTTGGCAGCCGTTTCATTTCGGAGGTGTTTCAGCCCATTTTGGTACCCAAAACACTGAATCGGACCATAAGACTCCACAACATCTCCAAAACGGAACCATCCAAAATGTTTCAGAGGCGGGCTTGTGGGGAAACACAAACTCAGAAGAGGGAAGGGAAAGGACTGCTCTGATATTAACATCTGTAGCTGGCCAGTGTCTGCAGTCTGTCCCTGAGGTCCCTTCCAATCCCAGTGCTCTGGGGGAGGGATGGAGAAAGAACATATAAGGCTGTTTGTGAACTAGTCTCTGCCTTTTGTGAGATCTGCCTCTTGCAGCATGAGCAGCAGAACACAGCATCTGAAGAGTCTAGGCTGGTAGCAGTAGGTAGTCTGCTGCTACCAAGTTTACACCCAATCCCTGAAACTCCTATGATCAGAGATTGTGCCTGGCTCCCCAGCTGTCAGATATGCTTTCCTTCCCTCTGTTTTGCTCCTTCTTCTTTTCCTGAAGAGCAGGTGTAGGGACCCCGCTGCGTCTGGTTGGGGGGAAGGCAAGCTTTGAGGGACGAGTGGAGGTCTACCATGATGGTGAGTGGGGCACCATCTGTGACGACCAATGGGACAACAGGGATGCTGAAGTGATTTGCAGGCAGTTAGGACTCAGGTAATTCCCTTTCTTTTACTTTCTGTCTGGTGATGGGGGTAGGGAGACTTAACTTAAGAACTGCCACCCTGGATCAGAACTGTGGTCCATTTAGGTCACTCAGCTCTTGCTGCCAGCTACCTCAGAAGAATGGCCAAGAAAATCTGGCATGGACTATTTCAGAACCTACCCCCAGGGAATTTTCTTCTAGGGTTCTTGAATCTCGGCTGCTGTAACCCTGAATGTTCTCATTATACATGTGAAAATGTCTAGGTCTTGTCAGAATACCCCCAGGCTCCTGGCCTTGGTGGTAGCTCACAGCAGTGAGTTCCACTTGTGAATGGTACCTGTTCCCTGTGACAGTTCTGAATGCAGGTTCACTGACTGTCCTATTGGTCTTCTGTGGTGAGAGTGGGAAATTGGGAATTCCAGTTTACCCTCCTCTCTGCTGTTCATGTATGGACACTGCTGGGTGCTGAAGACCATGGAAGCCCGTGTCCTTACAGAAGTGCCTCCCTGGGGTTTAACAGACTGACTTTTTAGCTTCCCTTTTTTACATCTTGATTCTGGGTTTGTGTGTGTAACCACCAGACCTTCAGAGCTTTGCATATCACTTTTGCCAGTGGCTGCATCTACATAAGACACTGACTGTGCAGTAACCTGAGTTACTGCGCAGTAGGGCTGTGTGAAACTTTGGCAGCCGTTTCATTTCGGAGGTGTTTCAGCCCATTTTGGTACCCAAAACACTGAATCGGAACAGAAGACTCCAAAACATCTCCAAAACGGAACCATCCAAAATGTTTCAGAGGCGGGCTTGTGGGGAAACACAAACTCAGAAGAGGGAAGGGAAAGGACTGCTCTGATATTAACATCTGTAGCTGGCCAGTGTCTGCAGTCTGTCCCTGAGGTCCCTTCCAATCCCAGTGCTCTGGGGGAGGGATGGAGAAAGAACATATAAGGCTGTTTGTGAACTAGTCTCTGCCTTTTGTGAGATCTGCCTCTTGCAGCATGAGCAGCAGAACACAGCATCTGAAGAGTCTAGGCTGGTAGCAGTAGGTAGTCTGCTGCTACCAAGTTGTAGCCAGCCATTAGCCAATCCTTTCCCACTTACCCTCGCCTACCATTCCTATCGTTAATCCCTTTCAAATATTTCTTCCCCAAAAATCCTGTTGTTTATTCAGGGTGGCAGTGCCCCTATGGCTGAGCTGGATGAGATCTAATGCACCTTCTTTTCCCGCCTGCCACGACTTTGATGATATAAGAGATCTATAAAGGGAAGGTGGTGACTGCCTGTCTCCTGCCCAGCTCAATCACAAATCTGAGAGTGAAAGAAGGACCAGCTCGGAGCCAACTTTCTAATTCCCTCTTCTCCTTTTATTTTTTATTAAAAAAAAATCCTTGACCTTTTGGCCTTCTCTTCCTCAGGGGTCTTCAAGGTCAGCTGCTCTCTTGCCGGGGGTCGCTACCCCAGACTCTTCCACAATCTGCTTTCCCCACCCGGGTCTCTTCCCCAGGAATTTCAAATTGCGCTGCAGGGAGCCTGATTACCAGCAAGTGCTGCTTGAGCAGCAGGGGATTCCCTCGGACGTAATCAGGTGTGGACGCAGTCTTCGCGGCTCGGGATCTTGCATGCCCAGCCTCAGCTATGAAGGCTTCTGAGAGGGGGGCCCAGCTCCCTTTTTCCCTTGGGCAGGCGCAGAGAGTCAGACTCTCTGACTGGCTGGGGAATGTCCACGGGAGGCAAAAAGAAAAGAAAAGAAAAAGAGGAAAAAAAACACCACAGCGGGCAGTACAGGCAGACCTGCTGCCTCTGCCACCCCGCAGGGGCTATCCCCAGATTCCCCTCCAGTGCCTGACCTCTTCCACCCTCTGCTTCACTCCTGCGGTGAGGGTGCCACCACCTCTTCAGCCTCAGCCCAATGGCTTACCCACCCTTCTGGTTCCTCAGCTACTCGCCCCTGCTCCTTCGACCCTCCTCTGGGTCTGCCCCCGGCCTCCAGATATAGCCTGCACTGAGGATTGGCCCCAATTTGCTTCACCTAATGTGGAGGTAAAGCTGCACTGGTGCAGATCGGGAGTTCTCACTGTAGAACAGATGTTGCCGCGTGAGGTGGTTCATGTCCCTGGCCGGGGATACGCCCCTGGTGAGTGCCCTCTGGGCTCTCACAGGAGCAAGGACATGGGAGCAGTGTCTGCACCTGCCCCACCTCCACCAACACCAGCAATAATAATATCCACCAGCATGACAAGTACCAGCATGACAGTCTCCTCCACCCCAATTTCAGTTCCCAGCCTGAGCCTTCCAGTGCCAGAGGAGGAGCTGGATCTGGAAGCAGCAGATCTGAGTGCCATAGCCAAGGAAGTTCTGGGGAGGAAGAGGAATCTGATCTTCCGCTCCACATCCCTCAAAGTTTCCCTAGAGCCAGGTCTCCTTCTCCAGAAGGCACTGCAGAGGAGGTTGTGGGGGCAGGTGGCTCAGCGTTCCCTGTCATTGCACCTCTGCCTGCTGAGGAGGGGGATAAGGCAGGATCCACATCCACACCTGCACCCACACCCGCACCCCAGAAGCACCCACAGAATTCTGAGGTGGCAGATGATCCCACAAATGCTATCTGCCTGCACTGTTTTGCAAGATCAGCCAGGGCAAGGAGATGAAACACTTTACCACCATGGGGATGCTGATGCATCTCAGGAGGTACCACCCCTTGCCCTTGTTCCTCCTCAGCCTGGCACCAGTGGGAGCATGCCCAAAGGGAAGTCCCCCTCTTGCTCCAAAGCCCCCATCCTCTAGAAGTAGAGGCAGGCCACCCTGGACCAGTGGGGGAAAGGCAGGGACAAAGGGGGACACATTTTAAAGGCAAGTGAGGTCACCCAGAGCATTGGGGAGATGCTTGCTCTGGATGGCCAGCCCTTCTCCTTAGTTGAGTGGCCAGGGTTCAGGCAGCTCACGGCACTCATGACCCCATCCTACCAAGTGCCCGCATGCACCACCTTCAGCAGCAGGATGGTGGTGCCCTCCCTGTATGAGGCATTCAGGGAGTACCTGAGGGAGGAGCTGCACAAGGCAGGTCCGCAGGTGGCCTTATACTTCACCTCGGACATCTGGAGCAGCCGGGATGGAGATCGTGCCTACCTCTCCTTTACAGGGCACTGGTGCAATCAGTCAGGGGATCAGCGGGCTGTCCTTCAAGCGGAGGTGATGGATGAGTCCCACACAGCAACAGAGATCATGGGGTCCATGAACCACATGGTGCAGGGATGGCTCATTGGGCAGGGCGAGCTCAACCATGGGTTCATGGTCACCGATAACAAGGCCAATATGGGCAAGGCAGTGTATGATGCCAACTTTGTTAGCATCTGCTATGTGGCACACAAGTTCCACCTCATAGTCAGGGATGTCTATGAACTTCACTTCATCAGCCTCCTGGAAACAAAAACTCATGGACTCAATATAGACATTGGATTTATGACACACTATAACCTGCCTGACATCTGACTCCCCAGGTACCTCTCCACTTTTACCTGCTACATCCCCCT